GTGAGAACAGGTGTAAAGCTCTCTGATGACTTAGTGGGTGGTTGTCATTGTTAGTTAATGTAAATTAGTTCACACAACTGGAGACATTATCTTAGCACATTTATTTATATATCATTTATTTGACTTTCATTTGGAGAAAACAGTGGGTCAACCCAAGAAAAAGATACAATTTCTAGATCTCAGGGGAAAACGACCAACAGCTAAAAAAGCTATAAAAGAAACATATCTTCATTTTGAAACACATAAGATTTTTTCATAGCTCAGGAGACGCTGTCAATGCGGAACCTACTCAGGTCAAAACAACAGTTACTGCTGTTGGTGTTTTCAATGTGATGTTTGGTAAAGAAAAAGGAAGCCAAGCACAACTGAGCAAGAGAAATGTTTGTTGTTAGATGAAAGCAGCAGAGGAAAAACTGAAAAGTCGCTATGATGCAAAAAAATCAATTCATAGCAATGAGATGTGGTGATAAATAACATACAAGATAAAGTATCTAAGAGGCCTCCCTGTCTCAAAACACTCATCCCTACATTTTCCTACTGTTAGTCCAGATAAGTCACCACTGAGGCTACCTTAACTGTTTCCCCTCAGTGCAGATAATATCAGCAATTACACGCTTTTCTTCCCTTTTACCCTTACATTTCCTTGTCCTGTATTTTCTGAGAACATGGCAGATTAAATGTATGTCTTTGTGCGACTGGGCTGGCTGTTTGCAGACGGGGACAGCACCCAGTCTGTCATTCTACAAAGCAGAGAAACCACGAGGGACCCAGCACACACAGGTCGGGCTGCACCAGCTCCTTTTTTAGTGTTCAAGTCTGAGGGAACAGAGCAGGTCCTATGCAGTAGATGGACTGATTCACAAAATTATATAACAGTTGAATTGTTGTATTGGAGAAGGATAAATTGTATATACTAAGGACTCTTATTTTAATAGCCTATTACATTATTACAAATAACCTAAATCTCACTTACTAACATATGACCAATGGACCCAAAGACGGCTGTTATACTGTACCTAGTTAACTTAACCAAAGAATTTGGGGTGAATGAAATATGTAAATCCTGTCATATGTCTACATCTTTCCACTTATTTAAATGCACCAACAAAATGTTTGTATATAAAGCTGTTTGAGATTTTTTTCAAGGAACTTGTTTCATTAAATGTATTAAAGAATTTAAATACCTAATGAAAAGAGCTTCTCATTTTCACTTATATATAAATCTCTCCTTCCTCGTACACATTTGAAAAAGTGCGCTTAACCAAAATGTAATTTCAACCTTCACTTTTATACATGTCAAAACCACCTTTTACTCCCAAATCTTTGTCTACTCACTGTATTATTTTTGCATTGAACGCAAGGCACACCCAACTAGTCTCCTTCTTCATAAATGAAGGGTACTGAATTGAGTTTAGCTTCACCCATGATAAATGTAATATTCAACATAACAAACAGCAGTGTGCAGCAGCAGAAGCCTGACTCTGAACACAGCCTAGTGAACCACAGGCAGCCGGGCAAGCTGCGGCCTTCCAACAACACATTAACCATGTGAAGCTGGTCCAGCTCCATCCTAAATCACAAACTAGGATCTGCACACGTTGAAATCCTGTATTTAGTCTGTTCTGGATATGACAAACCAAGTGCTCTTGAGTCATGTTTTTGATCTGATCCTACTCCATATCTGTACAGTATGATCTGCTTTTGATATTAACAAATACAGAAAGAAGTCTTGGCAACGTAAAACGGTCACACACTGACAGATAACACACAAGCAGAGCATCACTGTGGTCGCTGTTGTGATTTTAATCTTGACCTTTACTTGCGAGTCATGTTTCCGGTTTGAGTCAGCCCATTTACAATGACCTTTGACAGCCGAGGCTCAATTCCCACAACTCCCTCCCTCACCATATGGTTGACTGTTCTCTAACCAAGTCTCATCTAGGGTCTTGACTGTGAGGGTTTTGAGCTATGTTATCAGCACAACATTATAATAAGTATTATAATTTGCTTCTGAATTACCACTTAATTCCCAAAATATTAAGAATTTATTCTGAAAAAATAAACTTAATTAGGTGTCACCAATTAAGTTTGGTGAACATTAATAACACTTGGATGCACTATAGGTGGGAAGGCTGTCTACTGTCACTTTAAGTAAATCAGGCACTGATTTCAGAAACTTTAAAAATGTAGTGTTTCTTGTACTATACTGTCTTCTGCTCTTCTGAGTGAACAGTAGATGAGAGATTTACAAGCAGCCTGCTGTGGTTACGTTCTGTTGCTATCCTCCATAAATAACCAGAAAGAGAGACACAGCTGGAGAGAACCAAAGACAGAAACACAGAGATAAAGAAAGAGTTTGATGGAGTTGGGTGGGTTAAGAGAGAGCGGTATATTTCCACCAGAAAGGAAGTGATGTTGACTTGTTCCAGTTGCTGCACAGGAAATCCCACCCTTACATTTAACTTCCGTCTAGCACTCCTGTTTTTTTTCTTTCTTTATCCCTCTCTTTTCACCTTTATTTCCCCACTATTCCTCTTCATCTTGTCCTTTCCAACCTATTTTTTCCTCTACTTCTCCATCTGGAGGACGGGTGTTTCAACTGTTTTCCACGTACATAAAACACAGTTTGTTCTCAGTCTGATCCAGTTCATCGATCTGTTGCCCTTTTTTTATTGAGACTGGTCTCTGTTGACAGACTCATCTTATGGAGGTCAAACAATCACTTTTTTCTTATCTTTGCCATAGCTCTTCCGCAGGCAGACATATATGTGTCAACATCTAAAATTTCTCAGATTGAGTTTCCTCTTCAAGTCGTTCCCCATATACTGACTGAAATAAAGTCACAGCTGCAGAGGCAACAATCAGCTGTTTGCTTTAATGACACGTTGTTTTTAGCCAGAAAGGCAGAGAAGCTCAAGGGGACCTCAACATCTTGTCACGTAATTTGGTCCAGAGTGAAACCTCTTGACAAATAGAGTGGATAGCTATGAAATGTACACAAATTCATGGTCCCCAGAATAAAATGTAAAAACTTTTGTGAGACCCTGTCAGCACAATTGTTATCACCATGATCACAACTTGGTCAAACTTCAAATCCATGCAATACTTTGTTTTATAACTGAAGACTTGCAAAACATGCATCAGTCTCTGTTGTGTCTTTTATGCTAATTAGAGTGGTATGCTAACATGCTAAAGTGACCATGGTATCATTTTCATTATAAGCTTGTTAGCATGCTTACCTAAGCATTTAGTTGACAGCTTCACCGCCTCAAAGGGCAAATAATTTGTAAGAAAATTCTTGTTACCAATTGAAAAACATTCATTAAAATTTGAATATAAGTGAACTAGGATTTAAATAAAATTGAGATAAAGACGATTTGCTTGTATGAAACACATAAAAAGTCAAGTCAATGTATCTATATTTTCAACTATGAGAAACTTGCAGAAAACTACTGCAGGGCTAAGATCACATATCTGACTGCAGGATTTCTACTGTCCATACTACTGTTTCTCTTCACCACCACTGGTATCAACATTAATTAGCTCTGTTACATGGACTAGGTCTCTTCCAAACACTCGAGGGTCAACTGGAACAACACTAACTTATCCACCCTGAGCTGTTGGCAAAAATATGTATCAAATGATTGACATGCGAATGGCGTTCATCCACATCCTTGTGCACATACTGTCTGAGCATGAGATACAAATACATACTTTGCAGCTCATCAAAACTTTACCTTACAATGCCAATGTTGTTTAGATACACAGATGACCCTGGCTACGAGATACTGGCTACTGACACATACTCTTATTGATCCAATTCCCTAGCCCCATTCTGCTCAGTAAAATAATCACCAACTATCAGTTCATAACTTTGTGAAAAGTCAGTTATCCCAATGACATTACGTCATCAACACAGGACTCACACATATACATTATGTTAACGCTTGACGATGGGCGTGCCTTAACCCTGGTGCTGGCACAATCTTGATAATGACATCGATCATGCTCGAGAAACACACAACATAGTTGGCTTTTTATGGTTATTTGTCAATGCTAGATTACGAGAAGTAAATGTACACACAATACGAGAATTACAAGGAAAATGACCTGATGACCACAAGCAGATGAACCACAATAGAGTTCTTAACACATGCGGTCACTACATGCAAAGTGAATCAGCAACATTTCTGTCAAAATTTCCAACTCATACGTGTGAGTCCAGCGTAAGGCAGCTTAGCCACAGGTCATGGTTAATAAATGTATCGGCAGATTTACCGTCCAAACAACAACTCAACTGTCGGTAGACAAAAGGCTAAAGGTTACACAGAGAGAAGCAGAGCTGATTATAATTGTCACCTTTGTAAATTTGGGTGTACTTGAAATTCTTTGGCTCGAGTCAGGCCAAACCGTAAAAGATATTTAATGACAGCAGAGAAGCAAAATAAGAGGTTATCAGGCTCCAAAAAACACAAACATTTAACATCCAAACCTCATCCTGTCAAAGTCTTAATTCAGTATTTCACACATTTTCTTTTGAGTAGAAAAAAAGAGGCAGACATCGGCTGTTGAGCTACAGTATTGAATTTAACAAAAAAAGGCTGTTGTCAAAACACAGAAGCTCAAACGATACAAGTGTCTTTGCCTTGTGTCAGCGACATTCAACCAGACTGCTTGAGGAGTCACCGGGCCAAACATAAATTTGCTATCGCATCAAACAAATGGGCTCCGTGAGACAAGGGATATAAACATCTTCCATAAACATTAATGCATGACTGACCCAGCATGACACATTTGTCACTGATGGGAAAGTAACCTCGCGGTAGAGCTTACAGCAACAGACACAAATCATTTTAAATTGAAAAAGCAAAGCCCAGAACAATGTACAAAAAGGCTGGTTAAATACATAACACCTTTGAGACCAGAAAATTTGGACAAATAGTGGTGAGCGAGGACTCTTACCTGAGTGCTGAGTGTTGCAGGGCTGATGGAACGACGCCTCTCTGTCTCGGTGGATCTACAGAGAAACAGGAAGACACTGAATCAGCCTCAGCAACATGTGATTGTCACCCACAAAGAAATTATGATGCAGACTGATGCGTCTGTTAGGAAGTGTTGCTCGCACACAGGATGGTAGGCAACGATAAGGCACTCTTTATAAACGCGGGCTTAAGAAGACTCATAGGATTTAGCAGCTACACTCCGGTTCCATCTCCTAGAGGAACTGTTTGCAAAGATCTGACTTTGGCCTGTTTTTAGCCTTCAGAACTAACAGTCACACTGACACCAAGTCAAACACACTGACACACACCCACTCACTCACACACACACACACACACACACACTGCCTGTCAGAGATCTGTGGTTGGCTGTACACACACACACTGGGGCTCTGCTTCCTCTGTGGTCTGAATGTCTATAAAACAGCTGTGTGTGTGTATATGTGTGCGTGCGTGCGTGCGTGCATGTGTGTGTGCGTGTGTGTGTGTGCGTGTGTGTGTGAGTGAGTGAGGAGCAGGATTTAGCTACAAAAGCCACAGGCAGCCCCCCCCCCACTTCGCAGGAAAGACAAAAGCTTCGACAGTTTGGCCGAAGCTGTGCAGACGTGACTGACAGCTCTGAATGTGAAGCTTACAGACTCAGAGGAGCTCATTGTGTTTTAATGAGCTCCATCAACGAGACGCAGATAAAGATGATGAGCTTTGACTTTGAATGTGTCTCTCATACAAACCAAGTGAACTGAAAACAAATTAATAATCTATTAACAAAACCAGATTGCCCAGACCAAGCTCTTCAAGAGAGACCCCTGTTACAAAAACCCTACTGGCTGAAAACATGGCTTTGTTTTTTGTGATTTCTGAACTGCAGCTAAAGCGACTGTAGTGGAGAATTGATACTTCTTCCTTTAGAGATGTTTATGGTCTGTACTCCATCAATGGTTTTCCTTTTTTCTATGTTGCTACAGTAGCTCGTTACACCCCTCCTTAATTCTTCCCATTTAACTCTGAACCCCAGTAAACCCAGGTTAAGCCCAGCTCAGATCAACAGGCTTTAGCGCAGCCCTTTAAACCTGGCTGTGTACGAAGGAACCTCCAGACAAAGTATAAATAAGTCACTAATCTAAAGGTCACAACCTTGTGTGAATCAGGGGAGCAAAAATATGCACTTCCACCATGGGCCACCGACTCAGCTTTGAGTTTCACACACATATGGATTCCAAAATGACATTTATCAGGTAGTTGGGTGTGAACATTCCTCAAATTCATTCAAGTTATGCAGAGAAGTTGTCATACAAAACCAATAATGTAATATCAAAATGTAATAAGATTAACTAAGATGTAAGTCAGTGTTGAGTTTCCTAAATGAGAAAAGGGAGCAAAGGAGCTAAGGTAAGACAATATAAGGATAACAAAACAGTGGTGTAGCAAATGGTTTTTAAAGGATTACTCTGATATTTTGGGAAATATGCGTTTTTACATTTTCCAGAGAGCGTCACACTGGCCTGATATTATAGAGCTGGGCGATATGGCTAAAAACTTGGTTAAAGCTAGGGTTGGTTATCCTGAAAAAGCAATCAAGAGCCTGCTACACTTGTGCAAAATGCAAACAATACATCCCAACGCACCCATCAACCCGAAACACAAACATGCACTGCCTGACAACTGCGAGAAGCCCACTTTCCTGTGACTCACTCACTAACTTCGGTCTATCATAGAGCGGAGTGAGAGCAAAGGCGTGCACTTAGTCACGTCAGTAAGTGACAGACAGGTACGCCAGCAAAGATGGGTCATGTTTATTACATTTCTGCAAGATCCACAGACACCGGCTGTCTTACTTTCTTAAGAAACTTATTTATTTATGCTGTTGGGATGTGAGAAGGATTTGAACAAATATGATTAAACATGTTTCAGAAACAAATTGTCGATCTGACCTTTAAGATCAAACTGTTCACATCTGTTGATATCGATCATTAAAACATTTTATAAATCTAATGAAAATGATATCGTAATAATTATTTTTCATCGTCCTGCCCTACTTGATACCACTCTCAAATCTGTTTGCTAAACACAATGCAGGAGACAGCAGCTTAGCTGAGCTGAAAGACTAGAAGCAAAGAGAAACAGTGACCATCTGCTCCTTTAAAACTCACTGATTAAAATGATTTATCTTGTTTGTTTAACTTGTATCATTTCCCTGAGCGCAGAAAGATCTAATGTTTTTTTTTACATAACGTCAGTCCAAGATCCAAATATATTCAATTATCATTTACATGAAAACAGATAAAAGCAGCAAATCCTCACATCTGAGAAGCTGGAACCAGAAAGTGTTTAGTATTTCTGCTTGATATGTGCTTTAAAGCTATAATTAGGATTTTCATCAGGTCAAGCCGTGCATACAAATTCATGGTCGGCAACAGCCTCAAAATGTGTTTACATTCTGTAGTTGCCTTCTCATTGTAAAAGTTCACCATTTCCATGTGGGATTAAAATTGCCCACCTACGCCTTATGGGACAGTTTCACAAAAACAGAGAGCTGGAGAGAAAGACGTCTAAAGTGGATGACATGCACAGCAGTTATTGAAGAAGAGAGAAAAGAGGCCGAAATAAAAGGAGAGAAGTCAGAAAATTAATAAAATCAAATCACTAACAGAGAAAGGGATGAGTGATTCCCAACCAACGGGCAAGGTTGACACTCCCAGAATGCTTTGGGGGTGAGGGGGCTGAGCATAGTTTCTAAACAGCTAACTCTCAACTGTCCCAGTGGAGATTACTGACAAGCCTGCAGAGAGCCAGAGGAACACTGAGCTCAGTTGTCCTGGCTGGGGAGTGGTGTGTGCATGTGTGCATGTGCGTGTGCGTGTGCGTGTGTGTATGCACGTGCACATGTGTGTGTGTCTCAAAGCAACCACTGTGATCATACACTTATGCATTCCCACACAACTTCTTACATACCAACTGGCACCGTGTACATGCTCCCCCATCAGTCAGCATCCACTCACACACATGTATCATAGACTCACTTGTGCTCCTTTATTTCACTCATCAAGCGTCACGTGCACCCCACAGTAGAAATCCCACACACAGTTGAACGCACAGAAAGTACACACAAGCTTTTTTTTTTTTCTTTTCTCACAGCTGTGTTCAGATATCAAACAGAGCCCACTGAGAGAAAACAAACAAACTGACGAGGAAAGATTTGCTGGTCACAGAGGGCGCAAGTACACACACACACACACACACACACACACACACACACNACACACACACACACACACACACACACACACACACACACACACACACACACACACATGCTCAAAAGAGAAAAGATTGCCAGTGATTGCTACAAATGACAAAAGGCTAAAAGCAGAGAGCAGTGACAGCAGAACTTCAAACAGAAACAAGGGAACCTGCATGAAACGCAGGCTGAAGCCAAAGTTAAGGAAACAGCAGCTCAAAGTATTTTCTCTTCTGACAGTTTCCACACTATGAACCATCAGAACAGCTCCAGTTTGTGTTGGTACTGATTAACAATGGACTGAACTCTTAGGCATGATGGGATATGAAGTTGATACTAGAGAGTGGAGGTTCTATGTGTGGAAGTACCTGCTATAGGATTTACTAACATATTTTATTTGTATTCAACAACTGTATAAAACACACACACACTTCAAGTGCAAATACAATAACTGCAACATTTTACAGAAATTCAGTCTTTTACTTCCAAATGTATTTGTTCATATTACATTACATCATTATCATTTAGCTGACGCTTTTATCCAAAGCGACTTCCAATAAGTGCATTATATCTTTATACTGTCTTCTTATTTTTGTGATTGTATATTTTATTTTCTACACATTTTATTCTGTTTTTACCTCCACCATGGAGGTTACATTTTCACTCTGTCTGACCATATATGTGTTGGTTGGTTGCTTTGTTTTTAAGAAAAGGTTATGCATAAAACAGTGTAAATGATGCCATTTCAAGTTGAATAGGAATGTTAGGGCTTGCAGACACTTGGATGATACCACACGAGCAGTATGGAGGCATGTTATGTTTTTTTTTATGTTGTTTGATTACGGCTGAACAAGATCACCATTTACTTCAATTGTATTGGATTCTGCTGCCACACTGTTTACCCCTGAGACTCCAGAAGTGTTTTGTGGACTCAAACACTTCACCCACCCCTCCATCGGCATAGAGGTGAGTAGTTAATGAATTAATTTTCATTTTTCTGTGAACTGTCCCTTTAAAGGTTCAGTGTGTAGAATTTAGTGATATCTAGTGGTAAAGTTGCATGTTGGAGCTGAACACCCCTCGCCTCTACCTTCCTTTCCAAACATGAAGGAGAACCTGGTGTAGCCTTCAGTTGTCATAAGGTGTTTATTTTGTCCAGTTTGGACACTGTAAAAAAAACATGGCGGCCTCCGTAAACAAGACCCACTCCTGATGTAAATATAAAGTATTTTGATACAAACATCCATTCAAGGGTAAAGAAAACAACAATTTTTACAATTTAGATGGAGCACTAACATCACAATTTCTGCCAATAGACTCGTTAGCTCTCAATCTTACACACTGAAACTTTAGCTACTTTATTTCTTGAATGAAAGGTTTTCATATTGTTGTACTGGTATAACTGTGACAATAGACATCTCCACTCTTAAAGATTATATAAAATAGTGAAGGGATGAGTGGGGACCAAAGGACTGAAGAATGAAAGAAAACCGATCAATCTATTAAAAAACTGAAGCTTCTCAAATTTCCAAGCAACAACTTCTCCTCACTTAGTTCAGCTCGGATGATTACAGAGCAGCCCTGACGCTGCTACAAAAGTGATTATCTTAAGGAAATGTGAACTTGAGAAAGCATATTTTCCGGAGAGAAGCCCAGAGGACATAAAAGAAAAAAAATGTAGTGAGATCAATGAGGTTGTAAAAACATTTTATTAAATACAAAAACCAAGAGGAATAGAGTGTGAGCCACAAATTCCTCGAGCGAGCGTTCCAGCAAGTC